AAAAACAAAAAAAAAAAAAAAAAAAAAAAAAAAAGAGAGAGAAAAAAGACCCAGCAAAAAACAGGTTGAAGGTTTTTTATTAATTTAAAAAATAATAAAAATTAAAAAAAAAAAAAATCACTTTTTTAACACCAGCTGTCCCTGCCTTTTCTCTCTGCTGAGAGGTTGTCCCTGGTAGGGCACTGAAAATGGGGGTGGTGACTCTGTGAGGCAGCGTCACCAGTAGGGACTGAGTCTGTGCTCTGCCTGCACAAGCCACCACTGCTGTCCCCAAAAAGGGGGATCAGAGGGAAGACCCAGGGCCATGGGGGTGCTGTTCCAGCACAGCGAGGAGTCCCCATGTGCCAGCGGTGCAGCTGACACCCCTGTCTGCAGAAAACCTCTAAAATGGGAGCACAGCGGCTCTGGAAATGCCAGGAAACACTGTGAGGCTCGAGGCACAGTCCAAAGTTTCCTGCAGGGATGGGGAGGTCCCCAGGATGGCACAAACTCCAAGGAGCAAAGGCAAATCCTCTGTCTGGGGTTACCTGCTCCAAGGATCGCCCAAGGCTGGGGGTGTGTTTGGGGTGTGCAGGGGTGGTGTGGGGGTGTTTATAGGGTGCATCTGGATCCTGGGGCAGCAAAAGGGGCAGGGGGATGATGAACACCAAAGAGGTGACCCCAGCTGGGCCATGTTCTGCAAATCCAGTTGGTCCCAGAGGGGTTTGTTTTTAAACCCCTCAATCCCAGTCAGGAGTGCAGGATTGCTCTTTGTTGGCTCTGCTCTGGTGCCCAGTTATCTTCCTGGGGCCTCCTGTTATCCTACTGTGGTACTGGGGGGATCCCAGATCCTGCTGTGTCCACCTCAGTACCCCCAAAGCAGGTTTTGAGTACCTGGTTTTCCCCTGAAAAACCAAACTCACCAGGGAGAACATTCCAGGGGGATCTCCCTGGGAGCTAAGATGCCTGTGGAGTACAGTGGAGCAGACCAGGGATGGAGGCTGTCCCTGTGGGGGGAAGGTTTGGGGACATCCACCAGGACGGGGCAGCCCCCAGGGAATGTCCCCCATAAGCTCTGAGTCCTCCCCAGGTTCTTCTGGGGTTCCCCTCAAGTTTTCTCACCCTCCCACTCACCCCAGAGGTGCCACCAGCTGTGTCCCACCCCAGGAAGTGTCACTGCCTGTGTGTAGAGGGGACATCCCCAGCCCCCTGCACACACAGCCATTTGTCCCCAGCTGTGACACCCCTCATTTCCCCCGTGCTGCTCCAGGGCTGGGGGTTTCCCTGCCCGGTACTCCCCGTGACACCACTTGTGTTCAGTCTCAGCACACACTGGGGCTTCCTCCCACCCACGGTGAGGGGGGGCTTCGGGGTGGCACAAGGGAAAGGAGGGGACGTGTCCATCTCCTGGGGTTGTGGTGTGTTGGTTGGAGGTGAGGAGCAGAGGGGTTTGTGCCTTCAATCAGTGGCAGCACTGCAAGAGGGATGAGGGGGTGACAGAGGGGGTTTCTTCACTTGGAGATGAGGAAGGCAGCTCAGTGATGCTCATCCCGGGGGATAAGCGACAGCAAACCAGAGGCTTGGGGTGGGATTTGCTTCTGGCATCGAACTGTGTTTTGCTGCTGTCCCTCCCACTGAGGTCCCCATTTTCCCCTTTTCCAGCAGTAAATGAGCTCCTCCTCCTCCTCCTCCTGCTGTCCCGGACCCTTTTGGGACCACAGGCTCCCCTGGCAGTGGGGCTCGTGAGGGCCAGGGGGTGCACGACACCGTGGGGCTGACACAGACCCTGAGAAGGGGTTCCACAGGGGCTGTTTTCAGGACGAGGGATGCTGCCAACTCCTCCTTGTGCATGAAGGGAAGATCCTGCTGCATTCAGGAGGTGCTTGGCTGCTCGTCACCCTTTATTTCTGCAGGCTGCAGTTGCTTGCTCAGATCCCCTAGGCATCCCGGCCCCGGTACACGAGTCCATCCTTGCCCACCAGTTCAATCACGCCGGGCTGGGAAGGAGGGCATGGGCTGGATTCAGCATTCAGCATCCCCAGGCCAGCCTTCCAACCCAGCTCTTCCTGGGGAAACTGAGGCATAGATCCTCCCCGAGATGCTTGCTCACCATCACACTCCCAGCCTCGGTGTCCCTTGTCTGTATCACCACCTTCCCCATCCCTACCTTGTTGGGGTCTGGAAGCAGGGGCTCCATGGGCTGCACGGGGTAGGTGCTGGTGTGTTTACCCCCACAGTACATCGGTGATCTGCGGGAATACCCCTCGGCTGCCTGCTCCCTGTGGGACAGGGCACAGGGATACTCAGTTCCTGCTCGCTGTGGGACAGGGCACAGGGATACTCAGTCCCTGCTCCCTGTGGGACAGGGCACAGGGATGCTCAGTACCCAGCACCGTGGCACCCTCTGCTGCAACCTGCTATGCCAGGGAGGGGTTCAGGGGGTGCTCCCCCTCCTCCAGCTGCTGCAGGAGACCCCTGCCTACCCAGCCCTGCAGGATTTGCCCTTTCCCCACAGCCCCATGAGCTGCCCATGGCCATGACAGGTCCTGGTGCCCTTTGCAGGGCTGTGCCAGCTTCAGGGCTTGATTTGGGAACTCCTTTCACAGGAGGCACCAAGTCCCTGATGACAACTCATCACATGTGGCTTCAGGGCTTGGCAGGACAGCACAGAGGGCTGCAAGACCCCTCTGACCTGGATCAAGCCCAGCTGACCCTCTGCAGCTCCTCTCTGCCCAGGCACCTCCAGCCCCTTCCAGCCCACCCAGGGAAGAGCTCTCCTCACCGGGACAGGGCTCCCCCAGGGGCCAGGGATGGGTCCCCATGTCCCTACCTTTGCTCCTGTGTTTGGTACTGCTTGTGAGCATGGCACAGGCGCCCGGAGAGGCCGGGGGATAGCGGTGGCGTGGATGGGATCTCAGAGCGTCTGGGGAGGGTGACAGGGACCACAGGTGGGTGACAGAGGCCAGATGAGCCACCCCTGGCACTGCAGGGCACTGCCAGCACCCATCTGCCCTTGTCCCACCCCCCGATTCACCAGTGCTGGTGCCACTCACAAGCGCACAAGCGGCTCACAAGGTGAATACTTGGAAGAGGGCACCTTTAGGACCATCCTAAAACAGAAAGAAAAAGGCTGGGCAGGCTCCTGAGGCTCCCGAGCCTGGATTCTCCACCACCACCCCAGCACAGTCCAACCCACTGGCTGGTTACAAGATAAAGGGGGTGCCATGGGGAAATAGGCTATTTGTGGTTTCCCACCTGGATCAAAGCTCCAGCTCATATTAGACAATGGTGAATACACAGAGGGAAGCTCCCAAACTCCCACACTGCTATGGGAATTTGTCCCAGCGGCAACCCATGGGAACTGGGGCTGGTGGCAAGGTCCAAGAGGGGGTTCCTGTACCCCTTGCTGGGGTGGGATGCTCCCAGCCTGGGACACGCTCACCTCGGTCCCACTGGTGCCTCCAAAATGTGGTGGCTGCTCGTGGCTGCCCAGGACACACAGGGATGGGAGGTGGAGGGCACAGGCTCCCACACCTGCCATCCCAAGCAGCCCTCACACCTCTGTCCTCACTTGGTCAGCACCCAGGACCCCCCTGTGCCCTGCCAGGAGGGCAGGTCATGACCTGGCTCTGGCACCGCCTGTCCCAGCCCTGCCAGGGGACAAGCCACTGTCCCCCACACTTGTCACAAAAGCCTTTGCACCTACATTCCAGGTTTAGCTTGGAGTGACTCCATCCTGGAGCTGCCTCCTCCACGTTCCTCCTTGGGTGTCAGGAGCTTGCTGCCAGTGGGAGGAAATCATCAGCAGCATCCCCACAGTTCCATCAGTGGGTAAATGGACCCAATGCCAGGGCACCTCATGGGCCCAGCTGGAGGGAACAGGGCCAGTGCTGTCCCCAAAGCCATTGCTGTCCCTATGGCACTCACCTGCTGGTCCCAGCCACACTCTCCCCTGGGATGCCGGGGGTCTGGGTTCCTGGGGTGCCTCGTAATGACTGCACCCGCTGGACTGGGGGGTGGGTGCCAGGGGCTCCTGGATGCATTCTCGAGGCGGTGAGTCTGTCATCCGAACTCTTTTTCTGAACGTGGGGAGGAGCCTGAGCAAGCCTGAGCAGTGTTTCAGCCCCAGCTCTTGCCCCCAGAACTCCATCCCTTTCCCTCAGGGAAGCCCCCATGCCACTGTGAGCTTGGTCTTAAACCAGACCTTGGTCTAAGGGTAGCAAGATGGGGGTGCAGACCCCAGAGGTCTCGGGGGGAGTACCCGGGGGGCTGGGAAGAGCCTCTACCTTGGAGATGCTCATCTCGATCTCTTCATCCTTGATCTCTCCCACATCGGTCATCTCAGGGGGAACATCCAGGTGGCTGGGAAGAGCCTCTGCCTCAGAGATACTTATCTTGATTTCTTCATCCTTGATCTGTCCCACGTCATCTGCCCCGAAGGAGACTGGGTGGCTGCTCGTAGTTGCCTCCAGGGAATCCTTCTCTCTGTCCTCTGTTTCGGCCTTGGGGGGCAGGGGGCTGACGGGCCTTGGTACGGGTGTCCTTTCCACGAGGGTAACTGGAAGAAGAAACCAGAGGGAGCTCCCCAGGGTCAGGGGAGCCTGGGGGAACGTGGCTGGGGGAAAACCCAGCAGTCTGCAGGCCCCCTGCCCAGCCTGCTGTGCCCTCACACCCTCCAGGTCCCTCCCCAGCTGTGCCCAAAGGTACTTTCATTGCCGATGACAATCAGCTCGTCGTCATCCAACGGGTTTATCTGCCTGGACCTAGGCTGATCTGGGGAGTCTTGGTCGCCCATCAACATGTCCCTCACGGCAGACTGGGAAGGAGAGGATGGGCTGGCTACCACACTGAGCTGCACTCAGGATCCCCAAACCAACCTCCCAACACAGTTCTTCCTGGGGAAACTGAGGCATAGATCCCCCTTGGATGCTCAGCATGACCCTCCCATCCTTGGTTCCCTCTCAGCATCTCCTCTTGAGGTTGAACAGCCTCAGCTCTGTCAGCCTTTCTCCAGGACAGAGATGGTCCCGTCCCCAGATCACCTTTGTGCCCCTCCAGGATGCTGGAGCTCCAGGAGCTCCGTGTCTCGCTCATCCCGAGGAGCCCAGAACTGGACACTGCTCCAGGGGAGGCCTCACCAGGGCTGAGCAGAGAGGCAGCATCACTCCCTGACCTGCTGGGAATGCTCTTCCTAAGGCACCCCGGGACACCAGAGCCCTTCTCGTCCCCTCAGGCACAGCTCTGGTCATGGCCAGCTCATTGTCCCCAGCCCCTTCCCCACAGAGCAGCTTTTCCAGCAGGTGAGTCCCAGCCCGTGCTGGTGCCTGGGGCTGTTCCTCTGCAGGTGAAGGACCCCACACTTGTCTTTGCTGAAATTCCAGATGTTCCTCCCCAGCCAGTTTAGCTCTTTGGGTACCTCCATGACCATGGTTTTAACAGCCAACCCAGGGGATCAGCAAACACCCAACTGATGCCATCTAATACAACAGCAAGGCATTCTTCCCTCCAGCAACGTGATTCAGTATCCCAGACCTGCCCCATAACATCCCTCTGCTGTCCCCCAGTCCCAGCCACCACTCCAGAGAGACCTGGAGGGCAGGGAGCTGTGATCCTGCCTGGTGCTGAGCGAGGAGGGGCTGCTGTGGGATGTCAATACAGCCTGGCCCCAGGGAGGTACCAGCTCCTGCTGTTTCTCCCACCACCCTGAACCCGTGTTCTGAGCAGAAGACAAGCTGGGAGCACATGAGATGAGGAGCAGCCCTGGCTCAGTCTATGCCAGGTCCTTCTCCCAGTGGGATGCACAGGAATCCTGAGCAACCTTGGCAGAGATGCCAGGGTGCACAGTGGCTGGAGGTGCAAGGGGCTGTGATCCCACTCCACTGCCAGATCTTGGCCTCCTCTTCCTCCTCCTTCTCCTGCTTTCCTGCCCACCAGGAAGTCCTCCAGCACATCCTAGCACACCATGTTTCTCACCTCCTCTGGGGCTGGGGAGAGCATCAGCCTCTTATTTAGCTTTTCTTTGGGAAGGAAGGCATCAGAGCCATCCGTGTAACTGGGGGCAGGATGGGATCCAGAGGACTGTTGACCCTCCTCCACTCCCTACCCCCACAGAACTTTTGGGGACCATGTCCTGATGTGAGGGGACCCTACCCTGGAGCGGGCCCTGGGTGTGCTCAAGGACATACCATGACACTTTCCAGCAGCTGGTTACGGAGGTCATCCAGCGAGTCCTGGCGAGGACAGGGACAGGAGTCAGAACACAGGAGCAGGTTTTAAAAGGAACATTTGCAAATTAACTTGGACACCAGACAGAGGGATCCTGGACAGGGCTATGCCAAGTGGCTGTGCCTGTATTTCACAGCTGGCCTTTTGTCTCCCTAGCTTCCAGGACCCAGGCTACATTTTTTTGGTGGCTGTTTAGTTGACAAATGCCTCAGCAGCCCTGTCTGAGGGAAGCAGTGACCTCTACCACTGGCCTGACCTGTGGGCAGTGGTGCCCCTCTGCCCTCCCCAGGACAGTGCTGGCAGAAGGAAAGTGAGGGGGCTCCAGGTGGTTTGGGATAAGCACCCACATTCCACTCTTAGAACACACTTCCCACTCTTCCCTCCTGGTCCCTTCACACTGGAAGCCTCCAAGGGCTGCAGGGCAGGGGCAGCAGGGCAGGAGCAGTGAGGGGCAGCTCCAGGGGACACCAGTGGCAGCTCACCGCGCCAAAATTCTCCTTCATCCTCTGCATGTCCTCTGTCATGCGGGACTGCTCCACCTTCATCTCAGTGACCTCCTCATTGAGCTGCTGGCAACGAGCCCGGACCTAGAAGAGTGGGACAGTGGGGTGAGCCCCAGGGCAGGGTCCCTGGGGTCCAGGTCCTTTGCCCCCACCATGGTCTGCACAGAGCCAGGGGCAGCGCAGGGCCTGGCCTGGGCTGTGCTTCAGCCTCCAGCACATCCCCAGCAGCTCCCAGCAGCGTGTTCAGACCCCAGAGGAGGGGATGGCTCATGGGGAGCACCCAGGGCTGGGAAGAGTCTCTACCTCAGCGAGTTCTTTTTCATTGGCTTCCACTTTCCGCATCAACTCCTCAAGGAAAGCAGCAGAGAAAGGGCTTCCCTCGGCCCCCTCCAGTGGTTCCCCGTTCTCCTGGACAGGCAGATCCCGCAGGCCCAGGTGCAAAAGCATCCCATTCAGGAGGTTGTACAGCTGCTCAAAGTCGACAGCTCCAGCTCTTGATGACCCGAGGGCAACATCCAGCATCGTGCCCAGAGTGAGTGTTGCCATTGCTGCTGATCTGTCCAAAAGCACAGAACTGCCATGAACAGGAGCCTCTTGAGCTATTGCTCCAGAGAGGAGCAGGTAGGGTGGGAGGTGGTAGGAGGTGGTAGAAGGAGGAAGAAGAAGAGGTGCACAGCCAGCAGGCTCCTTCCTCTTTGGTCTCCTCCTTGTTCCGGAGCCCGTGCCACTTGTTTCCCTCTTTACAGCGTCCCCTTGCCCTGGCAAAGAGTGCCCATTGTTACACAGCAATGGCTCAGCCTATGTGGAATGTCCCCATTGTCCCCCACTGCTGGTGATGTCCTGGTTCCAGCAACCAACAGGACCTGCAGGGACCACATGCCACAACACCTCCAGCCTTTACCTCTTTCAACCCCAAAATTACTCCAAGGACAGCTCACATTGGGCAGATGCTGCCCCAGGAGCCACTCTCAGGGTGAGTTGAGTCTGCCCAGGAGGGCTGTGCCCTGTGGAAAAGTGATCCATGTTCTCACACTATCTGGAGCATTCCAGAACACTCCAGGAGATCAGCCCCAGAGAGGAAGCACCTCTAGCCATTCATTTTTGAGGTCTCAAAAGCTTGAGAGTTTCTCTTTTTCCTTGGATGTGGGAATGGTGGAAATCTGCTGCTGACTCCATCAATACACAGATTTTCAGCACCTCACTCCAGAGCAAAGAGCCATACGAGCAGGGAAAAGCAGATAAACACAAGACTCCAGACAAGCCTAGGTGTTAAAGGACACAAACACTGGGAAAAATCTTTGAACCAGAGTGATCCATCAGACAAATCCTTTAAAAAATCAACTAGAACCTTTGGGTTCTCAGGGGGTACTTCAGTTTGGCTCCATGAGCCAGGGCTTGGAGACAGAGGCTGGGGACAGGCTGAGGGGCCCCAGGTGCTGCCCATCAACCTGCTCCCCTTTGCCTGCTCTTCCCAGGGGGGAGAAATTGAAACCACAAGAACCCCCAACCCTGTTCTGAGAAGTTAAAAGAGTAACAAAATGAGGCTGTGCGAGGACCAGTCTATAAATTCCACAATGGACAATGGCTGGGGGGACACCCACCATCCTGAGGGACTGGAGCAGGGATGGTGCTGGAACCCAGGCTGATGACACAAATTCTTTCTCTACATCTGTTCTCCTTCCTTTCCTCCTTCCTTTCTCCCTCTCTTTAAGAGTTTAAATTGCAGCTGCTGTGGGCTGTTATGAAATCGCTGTTTCCATGCACAGTTCAAGGAAATTTAACCCATGAGCTGTTCATTGAGGTGGTTGTGTAATCCATGGGCTTTTCATCAGAGAATGTGTGGGTTGTTAAAAAACATTGCCACGCATTGTTCTGAGAATTTTAATCTGTGGGCTGTTGAAATAAACTTAATCTGTGAGCTGTTCCTGAGGGAAGTTTAATCCACAAATTGTCCAGGAAAATTTAATCTGCAGGCTGTTCAGAAGTGTTTAAATTGTTGCCGCCAGTCCGTGCAACCTATCACAAGCTTTAAATCCTTGCTTCCCAAAACCTCCAATTTTCTAATTGACTGTTTGGTGCTGTTTCACCTTAATGCAGCCCCAGGGTATCCTGAAGGTCCAGGACCACCCTCTCAGGGCAGAGCACATGGTCTCCAGAGCCATGACATGACCTGCAGGGCACAGGGGGGTCCTCACCAAGTGAGGACAGAGGTGTGAGGGCTGCTTGGGATGGCAGGTGTGGGAGCCTGTGCCCTCCACCTCCCATCCCTGTGTGCTCTGGGCAGCCACGAGCAGCTGGTGCTTTAAAGGGGCTCCATCCTGGAGCTGCCCACTCCTTGTTCCTCCCTGAATGACAGGAACCTGTCATTGGGAGGACATCCCTAGCTAAAATGGGTCTGATGCCAGGCATCACATGGCTCCTGGAGGGAACAGGGCCAGAGCTGTCCCCAGAGCCATCTGTGTGGCTGGGACTCACAGGTGAGCCTCTGTTGGACAGAGGGTCTGTGCTGGCTGCAGCCACGGGATGGAGGTGTGGGTGCTGGGGGATCCTGGATGAACGCCTCAGGGCACAGGACCTGGCACTCGCCTTTGCTGAATTTCAAGAGGTTCCTTCCCAGCTAAGGGTTTCAGGTGCCCATGTGCACCCAGGAGCTGTGGTGGGGTGTCAATGCAGCCTGGCCCCAGCTGACACCAGCTCCTGCTGTTTCTCCTGTCACCCTCAGCATGGCCTTTTTCTGAGCAGAAAACAGCACACCGGAGCTGCCCTGGCTCTGCCTGTGCCAGGTTTTGCCTCCTGGTGGGATGTGCAGGGAACAGGGGCAGGAACCTTGGGGCAGTGGCTGGAGGTACTGAGGGTTGCAGTCCCACTCCACTGGCAGACCTTGGTCTCCTCTTCCTCCCTCTGCTTTGCTGCCCCCCAGGAAATCCTGCAGCACATCCCAGCACACCATTCTGTCACCTTCCCTGGGGCTGGAGAGAGGCTGGCAGGAGTGTAGGGGGCTTCAGGTGGGTTGGGCTGATTCCCACATTCCACTCTTAGGACACCCTTCCCACTCTTCCCTCCTGGTCCCTTCACACTGGAAGCCTCCAAATGTTCTCTGCCATGTGCTCTGCCATCAAGTCATGGATCTCCTTGCAGATCTCCTGGCACAGAGCCCTGACCTCGGAGAGGGGGATGGCAGGGTGAACCAGGGCAGGCTCTCTGGTGACCAGGTCCTTTGCCCCCACCATGGTCTGCACAGAGCCAGGGGCAGCGCAGGGCCCAGCCAGGCTGGCACAGGGCACCGCAGGCAGGGCTTGGCCTTCAGCACATCCTCAGCAGCCAAGAAGGGGCAGCAGCTCCCCAAACACACAAGGGATGCAGACCCCAAAGGAGGGGGTGGCTCAGGGGGAGCACTCAGAGGGGCTGGGAAGAGCTTCTTGCTCTGCCTTGGTGATGTCTCTTTTCACTGGCTTCCACTTTCTTCCTTATTTTCTCCATGTCTGATGGGGTGGGAACCACAGGGGCCTCTCACAATTCCCTGCAGTGGTTCCCTGCTCTCCTGGGCAGGCAGATCCCACAGGTGTCCAAGCATCCCACTTGGGAGGTGATAGCAAGTGGAGCAAGATGGGCACAGCCAGCAGGCTCCTTCCTCTTCACTCTCCTCCTCATTCTGGAGCCTGCAGGTCTCCCTGTCTACAGCTACATCCAAACTCTGTGGTGCAGACAATTCACTGCAGCAGCAATTTATAAGGGAAAGCTATGGAGGTACCTTGACCACTGAAATGTAAAAGGTAATCAGGGATAATGCGAACAAATTTTAATGAGAATTTCAGCCTTGGTGGCATCTAGTTCACTTCTGACCCTACCAACAGTAAAGCCACAGCTTTTGCTTTAACAATACACAGTGCTTTGGTAAACCCCATACACCCACCCATTGCACTGGGGTTAAATCACCATGGAATTATTCCCAATACAACACAGTGTATGGGCCCAACAAAATAGGAACAAATGGCAAGCTGTCACTGTTGATGTGTGCTGTACAGGAACAACAGGGATTTATTTGTGAAAGGAACACCACTAATGTCCAAGACATTTGTCTTGGCACTGAACAAAATGTTTGTCATTTTGAAATACGTCCTGCTGAAATGCTTGAAACTGTACTGACATACATTGGGAAGATTAAGAACTGTCTGTGATTCCATGGACACCACACCACTGTAGAAATAAGCCATCACTCAAACATTTGGGTTTGTAGTTTTCTCCAAAATTAGGGGATGCAACTTCAACTATTCAGTTCTGTCACAATCCATGAATTGCTACAACCTACCTATACATCCCAGCAAGATTTCCTGCTCACCCCCACTGGAATGAACCTTGCACTGGTGGAAAGATTACTGCAGCATGACGAGCTGTGTTGACTGCTGGAAGGTGTCTGAAGGAATGGACACAGAACTCTGATCTCTGTTCATCAAATACAGAAGAGATACATCATGTGATGAGAAATGGAGAACATCACTGGTGGGATAGTGTTTGAGTAGTCACCCACTGCAACAGGAATTCCAGATCTAACATTGCATCCTGCTGTCATTTTTCTGATTTCTGTCATTTTATGCTTAGTGTACTGTAGTGTTTTTTATGTTGGAGTGTTTATATTAGCTAGACAGACTGCACTGTCCCACAGATGTCCTTGCATAAATAATACTGTTCCCTCACGTTCAGTAGTCTTAAAAATCACAGTATTTAGCTAACCTAATCAAAAATTTCTCACAATTTTTAAGTTGGACATAATAAATCCCTGTTTCTAGGCAGAGGCAAGAGGTGAACACATGGCCACTCTGTGGAGCAAGAGAAGTTGTCTTTAGTCATGGGGTGGATTCTGGTGGTGCCTCCCCCGCCCAGCTCTTGAGCTGCACTATGATCTGAGAAATGTTTGTTAGACCTTGGCCTTGAGAACAGCACCTGGGTTGAGCAACTCTCAATCTTATCAAAACCACTGTCTGCTCCCAGGAACTTGTGCTGTCTAACAAGCTCCTGTATTTTAACAAACAGCCTTGGAAAATTATTTTTCTTGCCTGAATAACAACCCAAGTGGAACAATGTTTTTATTATCAAACTTTTAAAGAAAGACATGAATTGTGGCCAGGATGGAAAGGAATTATGACCATTCCTTGAGGCTCAACCCTTTGTCTGTTGAGACAATGCAAAGATATCTGATGTGAGTATTCCCAGGAGCTCGAGGGGAATTTTTCAGAGCTACCTTGTACAGGCTCCTTCAGGTCTGTGTGCAAGTGGGAATGCACTACAGAAAATATACTATGGATCTTGCTCTCCTAGATTCTTAAGTAGTTTAGATTTTTAAGGAAATGCTATATGAAATTGTTAAATTGTTTAACTTCAGCATAAGCAATAGCTTAACAGCTTATGCTGTTAAGTGCTGCTAAACCTTTGGGCCTAAACTGTTGGTCAAGTCTGGAGCTCAGTTTTGCAAGAGGTCTACTCTGAACCTCATGACTCATCTCGTGTTTCCTTTTTATCCTTGCCCTTTCCTACCCTTACACCCTCCCCAGCCTCAATGTAGATAATTTTTGATTGCTTTTGGGTTTAGACTGATTTGTTTTAGATTTTAGTTTGTTTTTACCACCTAGTAAGTAGTAGAGTGAACCTTGCCACCAACTTGGTGGAACTTTCACTTCTATACTAAACCTGCTTTTGCTGATACCTTTGCTGGTGGTTCTTTAAGCAATCATAATTCAGTCAGGACCATGGCCCAGGGCACACAGGCACAACCCTCTGCTCAGTGGTGCTGTGATGCCATGGTTTCTACCCAAACACAGCCCAGCAAAAGCAAGCCTGAATGGGGCAACAACCCTCAATGAGCCCCAACCTTGCTCCTGGCAGGTCTGACAAGTACTTTGAGGGGGAGAGAACAGCAATACTGCTCACACTTTTAAAACACTGCCTTCCAGGATAAAGAACATTGTCCAGTAGCAGCTCAGAAGAAAGGGGGCAGAGACATCTGCAAGGACCCCACAGCTCCAGAAGATCTGGTGATGATGTACTTGCAGTACAGCATCATGTTACCCCTCCAGGCCAAGGAGCCAGGCTCTGGTCACAGAAAACAGCTGAGATTTCTTTGTGGTACTTGGAAAATGCAGGAAAACCCATCAGCAGCCTTGATCCCTCATGGAATTTGGTGTGGAGGTTTAATCCATGCTGGATACTGAAGGTGGTCCAAGCACTCCATGATGAGGAGTCTGTTTGTCTGCCCTGTGTTCAAGGCTTGTCCTGCTCAGTCACTGCTGGCCCAGTGGCACATTTTAGATGTTTGAGTGGAATGGAAGGTTGTAGAATAAGGATAACCAACACTAAACAACTAAACATTTCCTGTGCTGTTGAAGCAACAGCTTTTATTTGTTCCTCACATCAGCAGACTAGTGTTGTAGGTTTTTCTGGAGTGTGTTTGTCTCATCAAGGGGAAAGATCAGTTTGGGAGTTTATCCTTGTATCATCCTGGAGACAAAGCCCCTCCACATGCATCTTGTGCTGCTTCCTCAAGTGTCCCCTCCACTCAGAAATTAGTATCACTCAAGAAAGGAGTGATCAGCCAGTCCTACTTCCCTGTGAAAAAAGGCTGCAAGCTGCCAAGTGAGCCTTGGTACAGCAACAGCCCCACTGAATAGACACAGCAGCTCTTCAGAGGGCACAGCATTCACAGGAAGCACCAAAGCTGAAAAATCTTACACTTTTTATTGCAGGTTCAGTGTTAGTGTTTTGGAGAGCATGGCTGCATTAGAAGCAGATATTGTTCCAACTTCCCTTCCCCACAAGACTCTGCCACAAACTCAGCCCCAGGCAACTCCAAAAATCGTGCCTGGTTTTGCAGTGCAGACAAGTGTTCCAGTGAGGACCAGGACCCTCACGTGACTCATCACTGAGGAGAAATAATGATCCAAAGCTCACAAAATGAAAAGGCCAACACATAAACTAGCATTCCCTGCTCTGCTGGGACACACACGAGAGCCTGTTCCCAGCTCCCTGACCCAGGGATGGGAGCAGCCCTGTCAATGGGTTGCCCTAAGCTGTCCTTTCGGGATGTTCCGCTAACTTAGTTTTGATGAAAGTCCCTGCTCTGCTGTGCAGGAGAGGAGAGGCCACTGAGCTGGCACGGAGCTGCTGTTGGCTCAGCTCTGCCAGCAGCACAGCCTGAACGTTCCCTTCCGTGCTCTGGGGCAAGACACAGGCAGAAACAACCCCAAAGGCTGCTCTTGCTGCCCACACAGCAATGAGTAGTCTGTTCCCTTCTCACAAGCTGACAGCTACTTCTGTTTAGCTTTTCTTTCTGCCCCTACAGGGCAAGAGATAACATACTAAAAAAAAAAAAATCATTAAAGAAACTTAAAAATTCAACACCACCTCATTTCTCCATCTCTCTTAATTAAGGTGTAATCCCCCCCTATGCCAGTGTCCCCCTCTATTCACTTGTAAAGTGCTGGTCAGGTTGGTTTTTTCTATTAGATCTCATGGCTCAAGACCCTGAAAACCTCAACGCTCCTACAAAAATAAACAGCTGTGTTATGCCTATGTTTTATGATATTGCCTTTCCATGCAGATTTCCTTCTCTTCTGGAATCCAGGACGGGGGCAGGCTCAGGTCTAGTCATCAACAGTGATGTTGCGGAAGAGATAGGCCATGGACTCGCCGTTGTGGATCCGCCGGATGGCTTCCGAGAGGATCAAACTGATATCCACAGTCTTTATCTTGGGGCACTGCAGCTTCTGCACCTCGTGAGGAACAGTGTTGGTCACTACCACCTATGGAGGGCCAGAAAGGAAAGGAAGTTGTGCTGCTGGAACATTCACCCTCCCTGAGCAGCCACCCTGGATTGACTCCAGGAGGGGTGCGTACTGCTGTTTCACAGTTCAGGGGGAGAAATCCTTGCATATTAGCAAAAAAGATTAAAATAAATGGTCTCCCCTCTAGGACAGTCTGATGAGGGGACCAGCAAAACCAGCACTCTCCAACAGGCTGATGGGCCCACTTAGATCACAGGATCTGTTACTAAGGCTTGAAATCCTGTCCTCTTCATGTACCAGCAGCCCCTGACCAGCTGGGGGAGAGGGGCTGCACAGTGAGATGCAGCCACACAGCCCCAGCTGCAGGGAGGGAAGTGTCCAGGCAGGGATGACTAATATTTTTATAAGGGAGTAAATACACTCAGAGAAGCAGATCTGATCTGAGCAAGTATTAATCACACTAGCTCTTTTTTTATTTGTTCCAGTGAAGACCCAGCTAACTGAAAGCACCTGATTAAATGAGTAATTCCAACCATGAGCTACGTGCCATAGGAAGGACATCAATTTGTGAGTTTTGGTGCCAGCCCTCCCTCTGCAGTCTGGAGAGGAGACTCACCTCATCAATGGAGGATTCCTCTATGAGACGGGGAGCATCTGCTGACAGGAGCCCATGAGTAGCCATCACAAAAATCTTGTAGGCTCCACGCTCTTTCAGGATCTCTGCAGCAGCTACAAAGCTTTCCACATCATCAATGATGTCATCCTGAGCAGAAACAGAAATAACATCAAAACCAGAAGTTCACAGAGCCTGCAGGGTAGGCATGGATCAGGGTACTGCAGCTTTGGCCATGCACACAGATGAAAAACAGAATCCCTGTCTACTTCAGCTGCTGATGAGGACAGCCACGTGCATGACTAATCTGTGAATGCTATTTCCCGGGTTTAATGACCCTTTTGCTATGTGGACAGCAAATGTTGTGTCTTGGAAACAAATTAGTCCCCGCACATGCAGAGTTTATCATCAGCAAGGCATATTTTTTCATGGGGTAGGAGCTGCATGTTGATTACTTACACAGCAGCATGGCATTGCAAGTAAGAGAGGCTTGGAAAGTTTTTTGTTTGTTTGGGGTTTTTTAACACTTCAAGGTTTTTTTTCTGTGTGCCCTGGATTTATTCATTACTTGCAGACATCTGACACTTAGAATCAAGTGAGCAAGGAGATTTTAGGGCTTAAAGAGCTGAAGTGCAAATGGTTTTCACCAGAAAGCTGAAATAACCAAAGCCACCAGCACTACTGAAGAAATGAGTGTCTAAAAAACACATTCCCACTCCTCCCACCAGCCATCCCTCTGACCCTCAGGGATGGAGCAGCTGAAGCAAAGATGCTGTGAGGAAGCCACCCCCCCACCTGCTCCCCTCACACTCATACCACAATGATGGCAATTCTTCCTCCAACGTCTCCAACCACAGTTATTGGCGGTTTCTCCTTGGCCATCATCACTAAAGAAGAAGGGAAAAAAAGAGTCCAGGTGAGTCAGGCTTGAGTCAAACCCCACCAGTTCCACCACACAAGAGGCTGAACCATTAAACATCTTACATTGATTCAGACACAGATGTGCTTTACGTGATCCTGACACCCACCTAAGCGAGGAACCCTGATTTAAACACCATTTTTCTCCTCAAATGAACAGCACTGCTGCATAAAGAGGAAGTTCTGTTTCTGCGGGGATTTTGTACTGACCTCAGAAACAGAAAGCAATTCAAACTCTAACAAACCCCTGTGCAAGGAGAGTTACAAATCAGCACCTGGTTTATGGGCAATATCAGTGACTTTCTCTGAGCTCCAGCACAGGACTTGAAAAAGGGTCCATTCCATGACTGGGAACAAAAAATGTGCTTTTCTAAGCAGCACCTCTCAAAGGGCAGGCACTTTACAAGGTGCAACTTTTCACCTCTTGGACTCAGTAAATCATCTGTAGGATCAGAGACTTGCACTGCACCTCATTTGCTTTCTCACATCACCAAACACAGAGGGGTCTTTGAGACCATGTAAGAACCTTAATACCACCTGCTCAGGCAAAGAAAGCTTAAGGAAGTTTGCAGAAGCAAATTTGCTGATTATTTTTTAAGTGGATTAATGGAAAGGGTAGGAAAAAATTCAGTTGAAACTCAGTTCAACAAGCTCAGTGCAACCAGCAACTGGATCAAAGGATACACTGACAAGCTGTGCTACCTGTCACACAGTGAAGAGATGTACTGGGAAATAAGGTTCCATTCCCTCCTGACAGTACTTTTGTACTGACAGGGTTCATGCAAAAACACATCCTGCCAAAATTCCAGCAGCATCATAAAAATACCAGAGATCTGAACTAAGATGCACTGAGAGTGTCCAGATGTAACACAGCCTTCAGACTTACACCAAGCAGCAACCAGCCTCCAGTTGGTTGCCAGCCAGGGACGTGGTGTCCATCTGCCAAACCTCTCACTTGCCATGGGGTGCTGGAACAAAACCTTCCAGCATGGAAAGGACACTGTGGTGGGCAGATGTGTGTCAACAGGTGACAGTCTGGGCTGATCTAACCACTGAAGTCAAGAGGCACCTCCAGCATTTTGTAACACTTACCTGGCCCACCCCCACACCCCTATTTTATACTCTCCACAGTGAGTGCAAAGTGTCCTGCCAAGGCACTTGGTGCCCCTCCTTTTCTAAGCTCAGGTCTTGCCAGGATTCCAGCCACAGAGGCTTCTCGAGTGCCTCAAGGAGTTCAGACACTGCAAGATTTTTCTCTTTTGGGGTAATCCACTTCAATGTAATACCTGAGCAGCAGGAGAACACAAGCCATTGCCCATCAAAAAGCCTGTCTGAATATTGATCTCTGCTCTCCTCACCAAAAAAGTCTTACATTAAACTCCCCATCCTGCACAGCAGGATGATCCAGTACTATTCCCATATCTCATCAGTGCCTGGGAAAGCTTAGAGTGCAAGCACAGCTGGGTGAATGAGTCACACTGAGGGATATGATGAAAGCAATTATAAGGACCACAACTTTGAAGATCCTTGTGTATTCACATCCATGACCTACTCCAGAGGCTGGTTTTTCATAAACTAACCAAAACTGTATAAAAGGTGTCCAGAAGTTCTGTTTTGCCCAAAGTCCCATTACTCATTGCCAGGTTTTGCAGTTAAAAGTCACAGCTACCTTGGACTGAGGAGTTAATCAACAGCTCTTTGTGGCACAGATTCCTCAGCCTCCCTTGCATGGTTATTTCTGAGCCTCCTATCAAATGCAAAGTCACATCTAAACCCTGAAGGAAAAATATTCTTATGAGAAGGAAGATTATTTGTAATAAATGAAGATTAAGCACCACAAGAGTAAATTTCAGTTACAGGCACTACTGGCCTGCTTAGATTAGTTATGAGTTTACTATCTAGTCTGGACAGTAACAGAGCTCCTGGTGGGAGCTGTGAAGTATCAAAAGGATTCCACCTGGCTGCCATCCCAGCCTCCGTGTGTATCCACTGAAGAGTGCCATCTCTGCTTACAACAGCCAGGTCAGGGGAAACTTTTCTACACAAATGGTGAAGAGCTGAAATTCAGCACTATTTTACTCACAGAGATACGGAGTTTCAGCAAATCAGTATCCTTCTACTCCATGAAGGAAGCAGACATACTCCTTGCTATGCTTAAAGGCTAACATGGCAACCAGCAACATTAGCAGTGCTTTGCATCTCTGTCTGTTTTTTAAAAGCTGTATTTCAATTTTGGTTTATTTTTAAAGAATGGTAGGCAACATGTCGACCTACCCGGATCTTAAAGAGATGTTCTCCCTTTTCCTTGTTCAATTTTCTCTGCAAAAAAAAGAAAAAGAAATTGCAAGCCAAAGATCTACCCACAACCACATCAAATCTCAACTGCTCCAAGGTGATGAGAGTCTACACAAGGGTTAGTGCAGCCAGTTTCTTCTTCAAAATCTTTGGACATATAAGGATGTGCAAGTCAGAACTACTATGAGGAGGTGCCTTGAAAAATGATTCAATAAAGAATATTTTCCTCCCAGACACAAATACTCTATGTTCACAGACAGAAGAGGGTAACAGAAATAAGCCATGGTGGTACTTTTGCCCGATGTAACCCTTTGGATCATATACATGTTTGGGTTTAAGAGCTGCTGACTTTCTGGAGAGTAAGAAAAGATGCTTGTGGTACCTGTAGCTTCTGAGGGGGAAAAATAAAAGAGAAAAAACTAGACCAACCACCATTTTTTACAAAACAAGAATATCAAAGAACACTTTCATTCAGATGTGCATAATATACACCAAAGTACCACATGTTAAAGGCAGGATCACTGGCACTAAAAAAGGACATTCCCAGGTGTGTAAACATGGTGCTTTAATTAAGTGGTCAAAAATGAGTTAAGAAGTACTAAAATATATTCTGTTTGGAGCTGACAGTGCAAATTAAAGTGACAATCACCAAGAAATATAATGCTGCATTTATAACAGAGCCTGGGAGCAAAAGGCTGCTCAAGAATGAACTGTTTTGTGTAGATAACCTTGGAAGGACAGAAAACATCCCTGTGCCCAGCCTAAACACAGGCAAGATGGGGGTAGGGAAGCAGGAACAGATCTATGGTCACTCCATTTTTTCCCCTAACTCCCTTTGTGGCAGTTTGCTGGGCTCTGGGATTCAAGCAGACCATTAGCTCTGTATAAAGTACTGAATTCCAAAGCCACTGAAATGATTTAACAGATGGTGCTCCACTCTTTTTCTCACGGAAACATGCAAAGAGTCCCCATGCATTTGTTAAGGCACAGCCCCGAGCCAGCTGCAAGCTCTGAGACACAAAAGCACACAATCAAAGGGAATAACCTTGGAGTGACATCCTGTCTCCAAGGCTCTGATTTCAGGGGCTGCAGTGATGTGGGCTCTTGCTGCCACTCTAGCACAGCATTTTAAGTGCAATTAGAAGCACCTCTGGTATTTTTCTGTTGTGGCTCCCTACGAATCAGAATATCACATCAGGCCACACTCACAGGACAATAAATAAGCCATTACACTGCCTAGCATTCATTAATTAGAGGCACATGATCCCTGCTAGAACAGGGGGAGAAGGTGCATGCCAGGACGCAGGAGCCCGGCCAATTCACCGGGAAGCCCATGGAGAATGGCACAAAGCACGAGCCATCGCTGTGGGGCTCTGGGGCTGCTCCCAGACACAGGTTTCACCTCTCTCCTGGTTCTAACACAATTGCCAAGTCTGGGATCCTCCACACTGATCTGGTTGTAGCCCAGAGTGGGATGCCCCATAAGAAGTCTCAGCCACTCCCCAGGAACATCCCCAACCTTCTATCTGCCAGGCCCTGGTTTGGTTGCTGAGCCAGGCAGACTCACAGACCGTTTCTGTTTTGATAATTGGAGGGTTTGGGGACAGTTCTGGTGTAAGGAACATCCAGTTCTGAGCAGCAGCATGTGTCTGACCTTTCACAACCAATCACACAGCTGAACCCTGCTATACTCTGCTCTCAGAGCTTTCACCACCAGGAAGGGAGAGCTGAATGAGGGTTTGGAATTAATGTGACATTTGAAGTGGGAGATGCTTTTCAAATGACTGAATTGGACAAGAAACGAGGCACAGCAGAGAGGGTCAGCAGAGACACTTGCAGCATTGCCATCCCAGCTGCACTTTCACCTCTGTCTGGCAGAGACTGTGACACAACCAGAATGCAGACTGCTTTCAGACAGGGATAACCTCAGAACCCTGCTCACTCAAAACCAGGGATCTCTCAGGATAGAAAACAACTTCTAAGGAGAGTTTTGGACAAGTTTGCCCCACAATCCACCCCATGACAGAGAGCTGCCAAGCCACAGCTCGACTGTTTTATACTGTGCCTTAGGCATGCTGGGGATGTAAGGTCATTGATCAAGTGCTGAGTTTGTGCAGCAGGAGATAGTAAGAAAGTGGTGATACAGCAAATTAGTTTGTGTTTGGATAGGTGAGGACTGAAAACAATTTTCCATTGGATTCATTACTAAACAGGACAAGGACACATTTCTGTATGAACAACCATTTACAGGGCTCTCCAGCAGCACAACCTTCCACAACTGAGCTTCTTTGAAGTGACATGGCTGGAAATAAAAATACAATCACATCAATTCCTCCATAGCAGACATGTCAGCTACTGATATTCTGGAGGACAGCATCCTCCAGAATAGGAGGGGAAGGAGAAAGTGAAGAATAACAATGCAAATTCCTGCTTTCTTGGACAGGCATGAAAAAAATCCTCTTGTCAGGAGGAAAATAAAGCCCCAAACTTCATTGCCAAACCCCACCTGCCCCCCAAGGCCCAAGAGGAGTTTCACCAGCAACAAAAGCACTTTTTAACTGATTGTATTTCAGTGAGACACACTGGGGTGACGTAAAACGCCTGCAGTCTTACTTGCCTGCCCTCCACAAGCTGCCCACAAACTGGTTGGATGTTCACCCTAAATTTCCAAAGATGATTATCAGTAGCCAAACCACTGCTGGTGTTGCCACATGCAGCAGCACAGTCTTTCCCACAGGCACTTCTCAGCCACACTCCTGCTCCCAATTTCTTTCCTACCACCACCTGCCTAGAAAGCTAAAATCTTCCCAAAAAGTAGCTGGATTTTGACTGTACTGTTGTTATTTGACTGCTGCAGGAATACAAACAATCCTGAGGATGGCATTTCCCAGAACACAAGTTTCTTCTTTTTCTTTTGCTCTCTGCTCCCAAATCAATGGCAAGAGCTCTGGAAGCAGGACAACAATGCTCTTGGAGAACCTATTCACCCCAGCCACATAAACCTCAAAACCTTGTCAGAACAGACATTGGAATATGATCACCTGGGTGCCGAGGTGAAGAAAATTTCCAGCAGTAACAATGTCTGCAGAGAAGGGAAGATAAAGACCAGCCCTCCCCTCCCCAATAGAGCAAACAGCCTCAGTGATCGTTATCTCATTACTTACACTTTTACATCTCCCTTGTTTCATCAGCTCAATGAATTCTGTTGCTGAATACTGTAAAAGCACCACCTTTATCAGAGGTTTGGCAGTATAACACTATAAAGTAGGCACAGCCAAGGAGAAACTACTGATGCTCTGCATGGCCAGAAGGAGTTAAATAAAAACCTTCCCCTGTGAATTCTCCTAAAACTCACTGATATCAACCTTTCTATGAAAAGAATTCCACTGGTCTAACTGCCTTTAGGTTGGTTACACAGATAAACCAACAGAAACTTCCCACCAAACTCTTCTCTTTTTTTCCCCCCAAAGGTAAGCAGAGAAGCTTGATCTTACATGGCAGCTCCAGGCCAGGATGCACAGTTGCATTTTTGAGCATCGGAGGGGAGTGACGCCCGTCATCCATGTCCTGCTCCGTGCACTGAGCCTCTCCATGGATCACTGCCAGCCCCAGCCGCAGCCTCTCGGCGTAGGACTGAGCCCTGCAACACAAAAACAGCCTCTCAGGAAGGTGCAGGGCTGATGCAGTTTCACAGCCCGCTACAGCAAGTCTCTCCCAGATCAACAGCAAGCAAAGGCTGCACCTCTGTGGCTGTTTCTCTGCAAGAAACCTCACTGGAAGTGACTCCTCATTCCTTAATAAAATCCCAAAGCCCACTCTACCCATTGACTCCACCACAGGGTCTCCTATGTTCCTCCACATGTGAAATGCTTTTGGAGATGGTCAGGCAGTGCTGAAACTCCAGTAGCAAGTCTGACTCCAGGTGAACCATTTCAGTGACACTGCCAGAGTTTACTCACATGAGGGTGGGAATACAAAGTTCAGCTGCCTATCTGCACCACATCCATCCCATTTCCAGCCACAAAGGAATTATGACCAGATTATCAATCCATCTGCCACCCTCCCATACTTTCCCTGGTACATCTTCCACCAGCTCAGGTATTTTCCTAGTAACTTTTAACCAGCCAGCAAAGCATCCATTTACCTTTTAGCAGCGCCAGGAGATTTGGCTACAATAACTGCGTTTCTGTAATCTGGAATCTGGATGTGATAAAAAGTTAATTAATTAAAAAAAGACCTTCTTGCTAGGGAGTAACTGGTTTGATACATGGCTGAATAAGTTCACCCATCCTCCTCCCCAGAACCAAATTTTCATTCTGCGACAAGAAACTAGAGAGGCAACTGCACTTGCTTCCAACACCAGTATTTGTGTATTCTGCAAAGGTGGGAATGTTCACTATGCTTAACCCTCCCCATATGGGGAAGCTTTGCTCTCATCATATGGGAATAAATCATCTTTAGCACATGGAGAATAAAACCTCTGCACCCCGCTCCCAGCCCTGCTGCGCTCAGCACTCCTACACCCAGCCCAAGACAAAGTCTATCAATAATTCAGAGGAGTCAGAAATCCAGCACAGCACCAAGGGAGAGGGGAAGCAGTTTAACGGGATTTCAGAGGTGATTAGAGGCAGGAGCACAAGTAGCATCTCTCAAATGGCACTAACTCCACAGTGAGCAAGCTCCTCTCCTGCTTGTGCTGCAGTTCAGTTTCTATCTAATCACAGAAGTGTAACATCCTTCCATGAAACATGCAATAGGTGCCCCCTGAGAAAGAATTAATTAACAGAAGGATTGACCTAGACTGACACCACCACCTCTACTTAAGCAGAGGCCCAATGCTGCCATCACATTAAAATGAGTTCAAACAAGTTGATATACATAGAATTAGAGTAACCTCACTTCTTCCTGTATATACTGAAGCAAGAAAGGGGATGCTCTCAGGTTGTCTACTGGAAAGCTGAAGAAGCCTTGGATTTCCTTTTGATGAAGGTCCATAGTAATAATATGTGTTAAACCTAAGGGAGGAAAAAAGACAACAATTTATTGAAAATACTCCCACGTGGCTGGAGTTCCTTCAACACCTCCATTTTTCAGACTGTTTTAGCTATTACTCAGACTATTATGCCATGTCATGAAACAATCATAAACAGATTAACACAGAAAGTTCCACAGACATAATGAGAAACAGGCATGTGATGCCACAGCACTGGCCTGACACTGTATTTCACTACAACATTTCTAGGCCACTTCCCCAGGTGCAAGTTACAGAGAAATACAAGAAAGCTGAAGAAAATTAATTCCTCTAATGTGGCTCAAGATCTCAGCAACATGTCCCCACATCAAACAGGAGACTGGAAGGACAGGTGACCTCTGGGATGCCCAGCAGCACTCAGCCTGCTGTGCTGCTGCTCCCTGGGACACTCACCTGCCTTGGCAAGCATTGAAGCCAGCAGCTTGCAGACTATGGAGCCCCTCTTCCTCATTTTGCTCTGTTTGCTGTAGGGGAAGTAAGGGATGACCCCAATGATGTTCCTGGCACAGGAAGTCTTCAGTGCATAGGCCATGATCAGCAGCTCCATGACAGCAGTATTCACATCTCTAGGAGATTTGAACACAATTCCAAATATTAGCAGGTGTTTTTCCAATGCAACTCCTTTTCCATTTATACTGACCACCCCTCACCAAAATTCCAAGAAAATAATGCTACATCTCAGGCTAATGTATGCCACACCAGATTGCAGCCATACAGCTCCTTCCACCAAGCCACAACAAATTACAATCAACTCTTACACATACAGGACACAACACCAGCACTCAAGAGCTGTGGACTGGAATTTGATTTTATATTCTAACATAACGTGTATGATTATTTCCCTCCACCATCCAACAAAAAAGGCTTTGTATAGAATTTAGTTTGGAACAAATGTCACTTGATACAGTTTAATTTGAACTAAAATAGTCTTCACATGCAGCCAACACAACTTCATCCACACTGGATTTCTTGGGGTATATTCCTCTTTAACAATGTACAGCAGGTTATTTTTCCTGCCTTAAAAAATACTGAAATTGGAGCAGTACAAACTCCAGACATAGCACTTTGGTGGAGGTCAGCATCTCCATACTTTAGCTTATCTAGAGACAGAAGGAACAACAGCACATGAAATGCTAAAGGACTGTTTCTTGAAAGAAGAAACAACCAAAGAAAAAAATAACATAGGCAGAAGAATCATAGAATATGCTGAGTTTGAAGGGCTCCATCAGGATCATGAGTGCAATTCCTGGTCCTGCACTGGACACCCAAAAAAATCCTATCCTGTCCCTGAGATTGTTGCTTCTTGAGCTCAGACAGGTTTGGTGCTGTGACCACTTCCCTGGGGAGCCTGTTCCAGTGCTCAACCACCCTCTGGTTGAAAAACCTTTTCCTGATATTAACCTAAACCTCCCCTGACTCAGCTTCGTGCTGTTTCCTTGAGTCCTGTCACTGGTCATGAGACTGAAATATTCCATTTACAGTTTGCTCACCCACAATGACTGGAGTGGCCCAGTAGGAGTGTATTAATCTGCATTTTCATTAATTTTGGGATGGGGAAAAAAGCTAAGCCCTTAGATCCCATTTAGTTCTTGAGACCAGCACCAAGAGACACTGCTTCACCACAGACTGACTCAAGAACATTTGGAAACTGAAGAGCACGTGCTTCAGATGGCAGGACAGGCACTCCTGCAAGACGAGACCCCCTTTCCTGGGAGTTTCCAGCATGGACAGCTCCCAGTGACACGCCACACCCCCAGCCCAGTCAGGAGAGCAGTGCTGGAGTGGCTCAGCTGTGCAGCCCATGGTGACAGGGCAGGGGCTAACTGGGCCATCTTTCCACACAGCAGCAGAATAAACAGAGCAGCCTAAAGCCCTGCAGAGCTTCCTGGACATTACCCAAGCACTGCTCAGCCCCTGTTTTCCTCCTGAGACAGCCACTACAGACAGCTTCTCCAACTGCCCAGAGACATGACCCATGACAAACCTCTGACCATTTCCATTTTCCCACTGCTCTCTCTTCCTTTGGAAATTAACCTCCACTTGTGCCTCTTCTTTTGTGAGGCTCTGGGTCTCTGTTGTCCCGCTGGCCCCGCCAGCCTGCGCACACAATGCCATTTACACACAAGAAAGCTTTGTTGGCTCTGGAGCACCCAGCCAAGAATTACATAAAACACAGCCCCCTGCCACACAGGACAACAAGCAAACAAAGAACTGTTTCTTCCCTTTGGTGGTTTAGCTGTGCCAGTGGGGCTGTGAGAGAAGAAAAAGATGCTACTATCAGTGTCATGTAAAAACAAAGTGGTCAAACTGAAGCCTATTTAAAGCTCATCTGAGAAACTTAGTATTTTTCATCATTATTTTTCAACTTATTCTTTGAAAATACATGCATATTCACATGGAAAGCAGGCAGAGAACAGGACTGGGACTTCAAAAGGCACCAGCAGTTCTGGTGCTGCTGCAGGACACCAGTAGCCATATTGAAGGAGAAGTTATTCAAGGAGTGTGCTTCTCCCAGTATTCAAGCAGGATCCCAAGCTGGGCTCAGGGAAGCTCCTGCAGACCAGGTGGCACAGGCAGTAGGCAGAGGTGGATGTGTCTGTCCCTCCAGCAGGGCCCAGGGTGGGTGGGCTGAGCAGGTTTCAAGCTGAGCCATCACTGATCTGCTCCTCTGCAAGGGGCACTGACCCCAAACAAGGGCACCAGCTGGGGAAAATGGCATTGATGGAGGAAGCCCAGCCCCAGCATCTCCAAAAGCCAAGAGAGCATCCTGGGCTCCTTGCTGCCCTCCTCATCTCTGGCCTTGAAGCCATGCTCAGTTAGTGACCGCTGGGAGGGCTGAGCCAAGACCTCACACAGGGGCTGGCAGCTCATTACCAGGACACTCAGACAGCTCAGCTATCCCCCACACCCTGCTTACCACCCCAGAGACTCCCTTGCTGCTCCTTACCTCTGGCTGGGCCATCCCTGGACACCCCTGCTCTGGAGGCTGAGCAAACACCTTTTGTGATACTGTCCATAGACTCTGCAACAATCAGCACCAACACTCAGCACTAAAAGGTTCCTTTTGCCTTTAGGGTACCACAAAATCGCCAACTCGTTCATTTTTCTACCACCTAAACATGAGCTATTTGATTTTCCCTCATACAAATGCCAGTCTACACACCAGTCTTGGATGGTAAGTGTCCTTCTCACCTTTTTTTGGGTTGTGCTACAGCTTTTACGACAGAGAGCCTGTATCAATTATTCAGGTCTTTCTGCTCTCTCTGTGCATTTAAGATGCAGACTGTGAATTCACACTGCAGCATAACAAGGTTGTTTCCCTCTCTACTAACAAGTCCTAATATTTTCTTTTCAAACCACTACTGAGTGTGGAAGTCCTATTCTTAGATTATTCCACACAGTTGTTGTTTTGACTCTCCTAAAAAGCTTCCTGAAACCCACTGCAAAATTGAGATGTCCTTGAACCTGTCCTTTCTAGCAATGCAGCAAGGCACAGCTGCAGTTTAGGAATGAAAGATGACTTGGCTGCACAACACTGGCTCCTCACCTGGAGGGCTTTGAACATTCTGGCTAAAATAAGATCCATTTCTTGGCCCAAAACACTGAATTCAGTTAATGGAAAAACAAGGGATCAACAAGTTAAAATAAAAAGGGAGGCTTTCCCCTCCCAAAACTGTTCCTATCCCTAATGCTCTGAGTTAGCTCTCTCTGAACATTTATCTGTTTCATGTTTACACAGCTCTCAGTAACAAGTTATTTCAGAGAACTCCTTCACAAGGGACAACAGAATGGCACCATTCACCCAAAACATAATCCTACAGCAGGGGATTTTCATCTTGCAGGGATTTAGTTGCTCCCTGAGGGAGGAAACACTTGGGGCATCTCTCTGGAGAGAGATGAGCCCTACGAAAATGTTTCTGCCTGCAAGAGGAATTCCAGGAGTAAGCTGGTCTAGTAGTCCTACTGATTTCTTTACAACAGGCCAAGCATTTCACAGAGGAAATGAATTTGAATTTTCAGTGGGCTCTATTTCTCTAGCAAGAAAGAAAAAATCCTTTGTCCAGGCAATTCTGCTCCCTACTACTTTTGAGCTACAATTGAGCTCTGCTAACTTATTACTTCTTGTGATCTCCAAAATCTGAGCAGAATTTGGTAATTTGGAAAAAGCTATCAGAGCAGGAATATTCTTGTTTTGTTAATATCAATACCACATCTCTGAAAACAGCACCTCCCCTGATCACAGTAGGTCGATTTGCAGCTATCATTTATTTGTAGGCTCCCCTCCCATCACCCTAGTGCTGTCCCATTACTCTTCCTGAGCCAGCAAGGAGCAAGGCTTCTGGGGTTACAGATGGTTTTCTAGCCCCCTGGTAATTTGCAGCACTTCTCTTACTCCAAGCCTAGAACAGTCCAAAATAAAACCCAAAAAGCCCCACCATCATCAAGAACTGTAAAAGTACAGGAGGGAGGCTATGGGCTTCCACCTGAGCTCAGTTTCACATCACTACAGCAAAAGGGGAAGAGTAATCCAGCCTGCAATGAAAGCAGCAGCTGCTGTTTGATGCTGGCTCTGTTGGTTGGTGGTTGGGAGGCAGAGGAAATCACCCATCCTGGGATGGAAATGCCAGTCAGAAATCATCCAACAGCTGAGCCTGAAAGGCCACCAACACACAGACCAGGGATGTTTCAGTGGGAACCATCAGTCACTCCTGCTCCTGCCTCAAGTGACACACTCCATCTATTTGATGGGAAGCATCTCAGTGTTGCAATCAATCCCCTGGGAATGTTAACAACTTAACACTATGTGGGGCTTAGATCTAAGGCAGAGCAATGACAACACTGCATGAGTTCCATTGGTTATCGTGCTGGTTAGCAGTGAGCAAACCACTGAAGCATCTGCTGATCTAGGTATTCAAAGCACATCCCAGGTGCAGAACTGAGCCACAAGTGCCTCACCTGGGGATTGTCTGTATGATGAAGATATCCTGTCCACGGACAGACTCTTTTATTTCAACTCTTGTTTCTGAAAAGGATGGAAAACAGAGTCAGTTTTGTTTCCAAACATCAGGTTGACATTGACAACACACCATGTTGTAGCAGCAACCTTGCCCCCTAGTCAGGGCAGATGAGGACTCACTCCTCTGCCCTTTGTGCACATACATATGCAAATGAGCTCACTGGATTTTCCAAAGGCTGGACCTGGGTAGAGCTGGCATGACATACCAGTGAGTTAGTTGTATTTACAGAGCAAAAGTAGACTGAATATCTGTTTGTTTTTTTTATAGAATTTAGAATTTTAAGATTTAGAAGACAATTTACCTAACTCTCAATGAGAAACCCTTTTCACACTTCCATGGAGGGCTGAGAGATGTCAACAGCACATTCATTAGTGAGCAATTAACCACCCAAGGAAGAACAACCTTCAGAACTTCCAAGAAGGTAACTCAGCACTTTTTGCACTTTGATCTTTCACAGCTTACCATGGGATCAGCTCCATGCTGGCTGGAGAGCTCAAGGCAACACCAGCAGCACAGAACTCAGAGCAAGAACTCCCCAGTTTCACTATCAAGGTTCATAGAAAATTCACATTTCAACACTGGCACAGGCTGGGAGTCTGGGTCTCTGCTGAGCACCACTCCTACAGTCCCTGACTCAAATGCAGAAACTAAACCCCAAGTAGCTCTGCAAAGCCAAAGCAATGATTCCAGGTTTCCCAAGGTGCCTGCCTTAGCCACTCATTTTCCACACAGTCATGAGCTAGAGGGAAGGGGTAAAGAAAAGGAAAGAAACAGCTCCTCAGCTATGGAATTCCAAGTCTAATTGCCTTGCCCTGGCAGTGACCCTACAGGACTCTGCTGAGAGCAGACTGATCAGCTGTGCAGCGATGAAAAACGACTTCAGACCTCATAGCAAGCAACCTGATTTAAAACCAACCCCAAAGGGCAGCGAGCTCTCCCGGGCAGGAATGCACCAGCCAGCCCAACCATAACCACAGCAGCTCTCCCACTGACAGGCCCATTCCGGCTGCAACAGCAGCAGCACTACCACAAAATCCTCCACCCCTTCCTATAGCAGCTCTGTATCACTACTCTCTCTTGCAAACAAGCTAACAGAGGTCTTGAAACAGTAAATGACTCTTGGCTACAGAACTCTGCTGGCCAAAATCCTTGTGTTTTACACCAGCATCTGAAAATGGACACTTGCGGAGTGTTAACCTCCTTAAAAACAAAAGCAACCTTCAAGAGGCATTTTCCCCAGCACAGCCATGAATTTGCACTTTTAAAGGCAAGGGCAGCTGTAAATTTTGTGTGTCAGGGAAGGGCTGAAAGAAAGTGATAATTTAAATTTTCACAAGGCAGACACTGAAAAAGCAGGGCATCACTTTTAAATCTGGAGATGTTTTGCTCAGCATAGGAGCATAAAAGATTTGGCAGCAACTAAAACCTGAGGCAGGACTCTAGAGGAGAGTTTGCAGATGGGTAAACAAGCAAGATAACCAGGGAAAGCAAGGAACATGTTTAATTGCTTTGTCCAAGGTCAGCCATGGAGGTTTAGCACTGCCAGAGGCAGCAGTAACATCACAGCTGAATCACTGCACTTCTTAGGCAGGTCTGCCCAATGGAGTTACACAGCATTTCTAAGATTACCTCAGAACAGTTGCAAATATAGAGATTTCTCTTACCTCCATTGGTTTCTTGGTACACCACAGATTTCCCCAACTCAGCACCGAGACGCCTGGAAAGAAAAAAAGGACGTTGGAAATGGAGGAAACCGGCAGTTTGTGCTGCAAAACAGGGAATGGACCACATTACACACCACCAAAACACACCACTGCCCAAGAGGGAGCTGAGTGAGCCAGCCAGGCTGCAGAACTACATCATCCCCTTCTCTGGGGGTCTCCTTCCCTCTGATGTCCCTGAGAGGGCCCTGGGACACATCACTCTGCAGCAGGTGACTGCTTTACCCAAAGACTGTATAAGTGACCACAGGCTGTGACTCCTGATGGCAAAGGACACCTTGCCAGCCTGTGCAATGCTCCCTTGGGCAAGTCTGATGTACAACTAGAGTTGAATGATTTACTCAGACTCAATTAATGGCACCTGAGTCACTTTTTTGACTCCCACCTCTTTTCCTTTTTTTTTCCTCCTTGAGCCTTCCTTCTGAAATAACTCAAATGATAAATGAGATTTTAATGTCAATTTAAAATTTTTTTTCAAATTACTCCTTCCTTTTCTTAAATATCAAATCTACAACACTCATCACAACAAAGATTAGTCATCCTCCTTCTCTTTTTAATTTATTTCTTACAAAACAAAGACTCACTTTGAAGAGCATTTTAAAAGGCTCCAAAATGCAGAATTTTCCCTCAGGTGACACTTCAGTACTTAACTGTACTGACAAGTAATCCGTTAGTAAGTACTTAAAGGCATTTGTGCTTTAACCCAGAGCCTCAGCTGTGAGACCCTGCAGCAGTGAAATGCTTGGGCTGAAGGAGATGGAGCCGGGACAATTCCCTCCTCTCCCAGTATATGCTCTGTGGCCATGGCCACACAATGAATTAGGAAAGAGTTTATGCCTGAAAAATACCTTTGTTCACCATGCTGATTATGGCAGCAGTTTCCTGTTTGCACTTGTACTGTATTTACCTGGATATATGCCAAAATTCTTCAGATCAGGACTAACCCTAAATAGAAGAGTACGTATCTTCTGCTGGTTTTTTTCTGATCTACAGCCTTCAGCAGTTGGTCTCACTCCATCTCCTTACCCACTAACTCGGCCTTGCTCTTCAATTGTCACAAAGATCTCTGCTTTCAGAAGTGAAAGAACAACACAGTTTGACCCTGGCATGCTTCTGTCCCATCAGCAACTGCTGGGCTCAGCTGTGAGCCAGAGCTGGAGGTCCCAGCTAGAAGCTGGCCTGGAGAGTGTGCTTGGGACAGCTGAGATAACAGACACTCGGATGCCATGGGATATGTTTGCTTAGCTGGCTCGAAAGCACGTCTGGCACACACACCCTCCCCACTGAGTGTCTGGCAGCACGTTTTGCAATGGCTGGGCTGGTGACTAAACTGCCACCTCGAGAGCTGGACGTGCCAGACTGTCACCAGCCCTGCTTCGGTACCAACTGCAGCATCACCCTGCAGCCCAGGCCAGATAAGTCTCACGTATCTCCCCACTGGGCTCCTCTCAGCCCAGGTGGGTTAAAACTTGCAGCTGCAATGCAAAGGCATCCTCAGTACATTCAGTATCTTCAAAAAGAGCTGGCAGCTAGTCAAATAAAAGCAATTCTTGGCACCTCACCCACACCAGAGGTGAGTTTTTCAGGTGTGATCCTGCTGTCCTGATGAGGACAGCCTGGCATTTGGAACCACCAAGCTCAGTCCTAATCACTGCTAAGGCATCTGTGTCCAAACAAGCTCAGAAACATACACACACATCCACCCACCCCAGAGCAGTGTGTGGTGGGAAATGTTTCATGACTCACACTTGTTCCACCACAACTACATGGCAAGTCTTGCAAGTTCCACTTGGAGGCACGTGCGCCCTGACTTCACTGCAGACAGCATAATCCTACCTCAGTACTGGGGAAAAAAGATTCCATTGGAGAGACTGTGCAAGTGCTCTTAGTCAGCCCTGAATCTCATGGCAGGATGGAAAGCTTCAAAACCAGTCCAGCTGGACTCATCTCAGCAAAACACCCATTGGGAGGTGGCACTTTCAGTGCCAAGTGGTGGCAAACGAAACCACGTTTGTGGCGCTCACAGGGAATCATTCTCACATTGTACTAGGGGAGGTTTAGATTGGATATCAGGAAATATTTCTTCCTTGAAAGGGTTGTCAAGCCTTGGAACACACTGGCCAGGGAAGTGGTGGAGTCACTATCCTTGGAGGGATTTAAAAGACATGTAGATGTGGCACCTGGGGATATGGTTTAGTGGTGGCTTTGGCAGAGTTGGGTTAACAGCTGTGCTCAGTCTTAAAGGTCTTTTTGACCTTCATGATTCCATAATGCAGCTAGCAGAAACCAGAGCGCAGTGCTCTCCTACTCACCATACAGCAGCAATGCAGTTTGTGTGCTGCTGAAACCAGAATTCAGAAGGGCAAGTTTGCTCCCCCATGGCAAAAGAGACACTAAAACAGCTCAGCTTGGGGCACTAAAGCAGCTCAGCTGTCAAACCTGGGTGCAGGGAGCAGCAGAAAAGACAGGAACAGATGACAATTTAGAGGAATGAGCAGCTCTGGTCAAACAATAAATCCCAGCTCTGCTCCAACTGTTGACTGCAGGTAAACAAGAGCAGTGGATATGAGATAAAACTGCCCATGAAAGTCCCAGATCAGCCCTGCCTGCAGCACTCCAGAGTCCCAGGAGCCACAGGCACAGCAGGATCCACAGGCAGCTTCCCCAGAGCAGCTGAGGTATGTGCACCCCAAGGGCACACCTTGCACCAAATCCCTTCCTGGAGGCTTTGGTTAGACAAGGTATCAGCCAGGGAGGGAGTCTGATAAACCTTGACTGAGTCAAGGACAATAAAGAGGGGACTGTTTGGTGCTGTAAAGCACCAAATTCCAGAGGACTTTTATCAAAAGGGATATTTGCATGGAAGCCAAGGGCAGGGCACAACCTTATTGACCACACAGCCTGGCAGCAGCCAGAGTTCAAAGATAAATTTCCCCTTCCTATTACCTCTCCCTTGTTTTCTTTTCCATCCCAACTCTTTTCTCTCAAAAATCCCCTCCATCCTGAAGTTCCCAATTGGTTGTTGCTTTAAGGGTATACAGGAATTGAACTGACAGCAAGAACTGTTTTCATCCAGCTCCAGGACTAACAGCATAATCACAATAATCTGGGCTACCACAGTTACTGATCACTTGTCTGCAGACACAGGCAGGCCTGCACTAGGACACAGAAGGTGCCACTGCAGGTAACCCAGATCACACACCCAGCAGAGATAAAGCTGCTTCTGGGAAAAGTAACATTTTAGGTCCTGAAGACAAATCACATTTCCAAGCAAAATGAGCTGCTATCCTCACACCAGCTCCATCACTAAATCAACTCCTCTGGGGCATGACAGCACTGAAGAGAAAAAAAAAACCTCTTTATGGCTTTAAAAATCCTACTCAGAGCAATTGGCCAGTAAAAATTTGTATTGATCTGGAGTCTCTCTGTAAACACTGCCCAGGAAGGATGATCAAACTTTCTGCAGTCTCAAAATATGCCAAGAGGATATTAAGCTGTGAATACAAAAGTGTTTATAAAACCTGTCTCAAATTCACATCTCAGTGAAAACAGCTCAGGAGTTACCCATAGTTTAATGAGGAAGTGACACACTGCAGTATTTTAGGAAACACTGGGAGTCTGTATCAGATTGTACTTTAAAATGCTCCACTGAAGACTGTCAAAAACCACTGTACCAGGCTCTTGAGACAAAGCAACTCCATGTTCAGCTGAATCAAATTTCAAGGGGCAAATGTACTCACAGTACTTTGTGCCATCAGAGCCTGTTTCAGTGCCACTGAGAAGTACCCTCAGCCCAGGCTGTGTTTCCTTCTCCTCCTCTGTGACCAGAATCTAAGATATTTGTCAGGTTATCTCCATAGGGAGCTTTCAGCCAGCTTACAGCACAAACATTTAATTTGAAGAGAAATCTAAACACAAAGCTCTTAATTATGATAATTTATTTTGGCAATATCTGCTTCATTATAAACACTTTCCCTGGTGTCAGCTCAACAAACTCCCAACTCTCCCCACATCTGCAGACTCAGAAGGAGCTGGAGCAGAGGACAGAGGGTCTGTGCTGTGCCTGACTGCGGCCAAATCAAGCCACAGCCTGACTCTGAATTGCTTTTCAAACTTCAGCAAATATTTAAATAAAGATCAGCCATGGTCCAGCCAGCACAATGGCAGCTCTGCAGTGCACTTCCTAATCCCCCAGTAAAAGAACAGCCAGGAAAGGGAAAGGGAATGGCAGCTTCCTGGATACAATCTATTTAGATATCATTAGAACTATCTGAGCTCTCCTTTGCCTCTCCCCATCCACCCAGCCCAACTGAATATTTGAAGAAAAGTTCCTATTGCTCATCTGGAATCACTTGTTCCAGCCATGCCAAAGCCATGCAGCCCAACTACTGGCAAATAACAGGCAGATCTTCCTCTACTCCTGGTGAAGGAACTTCCCCTAAAGCTGTGCTGGCCAGCACAGAAAGCTCCTCATGAACCCAGCCTGCTCAGCCACATTCTGTGCTCTAACTAAACTGCATAGAAATACTGTGACTCCCCTCTGCCACCCTCTCACGTGCTGGTAAGATGACCTAAAGAATACATTTCCTACCAGAAATCCTCCCTCAGCTGAGGGAGGCTGCTGCAAGTCCCCTGAATGTACTGTCTCCCCCCAAAGCAGGGTTTTAACCTCCCACCCAGTCACAGAAAATACCACCCTGGGTTTAGCATTGTGACCCAGCTCCGTGCAGCCAGAGGTCAGAACACAAATCCCTGTGTTTTCCTAATTCCACGTTCATGCTCATGGCAATGCTCTATCTTCACACCACCAGCATTTTCCACGCTGCAAACTGAGTAAATCTCTGGAATACTCACATCCACAGTTGGCAGTGAAAGAGTATCACATCCCACATCACAGAGCTGCAGGAGCTCTGGGGAGGCATTAGCAAGATTCAATCACCAACCTCCTCCAAGCCAAACACATAAGCAGTGAGTAGAATGTAATATTTGTACCTGCTGAGCCAAGCACTGCAGTCACAAGGAGATCTAAATGCATCTGTTGGATTAAAGATCAAAAAGACTTTCTAGATCTCCCTCCCCCCAGCAGCACACAGGCCCATCAGGGACCAGCACTGGTCACAGAAATTATCTTTGTCCCCTGGAAATGCAGCTTGTAATCAGGTGCCAAGTGTCCTAACAGCAACAGTTTTCTTTCCATCATGGAAAGAATTTAAAGTAAAATAATCATCACTCTCAATTTATAACAGAAAAAATAAAGACATGGGTTTATTTATGTCTCAGTGGTGCTGAATCCAAGGAAGATCTTCATTACTTCAAGTTTCACAAGGTCCTAATAATCCAGCACCAGCTCCTCTCCCTGGCAGTCATTACTATCAACTAAAACTTTGAAAACCTAAAGTGAAAGTAAGACTGACCATTAGTCATCGTCCCATAAGCAGAGAATGCTCAAGGGAAATCATGAAGATCAGAACTGTGCCAGAATATGATACTCAGAGCCTGAAATGAAAGTAGCTCTGGGAAGTTTTGCAGTAAAGAAAGCGAGGAGATAAATCAGGTGTCTGAAAGCTGGTCAGTGTCACAGTGCTCCTCTCCAGGCTGGAGATCTTAAAAAGGATAAGTCAGAACTATTCAAGTAGATATCTTAAGCTCATACCTACAGAGCCCAGATGAACAGGTGTCTCAAGGGGTCCTCCTAATATTGAGTGTTGTTTTAAAGTTTTTTTACTACTTTTACTCAAGGTCATAAAAAAACTTTAAAAAGAACCCCCAATATTAGAGGACAGACTCACCCTTGTAAGATTGCTCCAACTCTGTTTATAGGTGCAACTGACCTTCCCAGCAAAGAACAGGCTGGGATGTGAGACAGGGGGAAAGGCAGCAACCATGCATCTTTTGCAACCTGAAAGAAGAAGGGATGTGTTACAGGTCAGTTGAAACAGCCCTCAAGCTCCTAAGGGAAGGCAGTGGAAAACCACTGTGCTAGATGCTGAAAATACCTTTAATTTTGGGAGACTTTTTACTGTGGGCAAATCTGTACTGTGAACAGTTCCAGATTTTGTACCCACAACAAAGATAAATGTCCTTAAGCCTCAGTTAAGTGGCAGCTGTGTGTCACAGGGCTGTGCTCGTGCCACCATCAGAGCATCCAATATCCCACTGATGGCAGAGCCAAGGGAAAAATCCCACATCGCCCCTATTAGAAATTAACTTGGTGAGAGATCAAGGAGGGGGCTGGGAGGTCATTCTGGATCCAGATCCTGCTTCTTTCCCCTCCAGAGCATCCCTGGGATAACATCAGCTCATCATCCCAGCCAGCGCCATGGCCTGGGGAAGCCTCTCTGTGTCTCTTCTCATTTCATCTTTACAAAGAAGGGAGTTATTTTTAAGACAAAGAACAAGGAAGAAAGATTGCCCATTTGCTCCTCCAGTCCTGAGAACTCAGAACTTGTCCCCAGGGGAATTCTGTTGTGTCATGTTGATGCAACAGGACAAGCTCTGTAAAACTCTGTCCCATCTGCTGCAGCAAAACTTACTTTTTTATAGAGAGATACATTAGTTTCAGAGTTCAGTGACAGGAAAGTGAAACAGAACTGACCAAATAAAGCAAGAATACATAAGCCCAAAAAACAAGGAAAAAAAAAGGCTTTCCACTCCCAAACACAAGGATTTTCCTCTTAGCCTCACATTTAAAGAAGTCCATCACTATTATCCAATACACCTCCCAGCCAAACAGCCAAGTCAGCTCCGTGGAGATAATCTGTGCTAAGGATTGAACACTGTTTATTAAGCAAGCAGGACCAACAGCAAAGTGTTCTCACAGTTTAAAGTGGCAGCTCACCTGTACTTAAGTCCTGCTTCCAATTTAAGCACACCCTTGGAGATGGGAATGGGGCAGCAGATGCCTAGCAAGGATAATTGGGATGCTGTCAGGGGCAGCAGACAAACCAGCACTGAGACCCCTCGATTTTGGGATCAGCTGCCTATGAACTGTATCTAAGAGCACCAAGAGCCCCATTTTGGAGGCAGATGTCACACTCTTCACTCATCAGGACCCAACACATCGGTCCCAGACAAGACAAGGTCAAACTCTGCCTAAATTGATGGCTGAAGAAAATGAGGCAGACTTTTACCCTAAATCAAACAGCCCAGGCTGCCCAGCTCTCCAGAATTCATTCTGGTCAGTGCAAGGTGCTGTGCCGAGGTGCACATGGACACTCCCCTTGCCCCAGGCACCGAAGCTGCTGGGAAAACAAGGTCAGGAGCTGGAGAAAGTTTTGAGAGTCTCCCAAACCTGCTAAAAACGCTTTTCTAAGGTTTGTCCAGCCAAGTTTCACCTCCTTCCTCCCCAAAATTAACAGCTTTTGCCGTAGCCCAGCCTTTCCAGCAGTGAAATGGACATCAAAGAAGGGATAAAGCGGCGAGTCCATTTCCATCGCTGGGTCAGGCAGAGCTGGTGAAGATTCCCAGCGCAAAATCTCCACAAAGGTGTTCGCAGGAGACGCCTTGGGAATGCGGGGGATGCCAGAAGCTTCTCCAGCCGCTCGGGAGGGCTCCTGCCTGCGCCGGGGAGCGATGGGAGAGAAAGAAACTTGAAAGAGAAGGCAACTTACTCCGTGATCTTCTTCGCCAGCTCGGTGGAGGCTGCGGTAGAGTTGGCCGAGAAGACCCGGTAGCCACTTCTGGCCGCGTTCATCGCCAAAGAGTCATGCAACCCCCGTGGAGCTCGAAAGTGAGAAAAAACAGATTTATAAGGCAACAACAGCTTCCGTGGCATCCTTTTCTTTCCTCTCCGCTGTGATCACCGCCCCTTAAGGGGTGGGGAGGAGGAGGGGGAAGAGGAGGGTGGGGACCCTTCCGCTACCTATGGACTTGCTGGTCCATTCCTGCGGCAAAGTATGAAAGGGAGAGTGGAAATTATGATTAAAAAAAATAAATAAATAAAAAATGGAGCAGCGGCTGCTTTGGGGAGTAGAGGGGTAGACAGGCAACGGGTAACCCCACGCCACGCCCACTCAGCGGCCCCTCATGCAGCAGGGGAGGGATGGCCCCAAAATGAGGGTGGGTAGCAAGGCGGAGAGGGGTCCCTGGACTGGAGAAGGTACGGGTGAGCTGAGGGAGGAAGGCTGGGGGGGTTTGTGATGCAGCAGGGTTGGACCGAGGTCTCCGTGGCGGCGCAGGGAGTCCCTGTGAAGGGGGAAGTCTTTGGGGGCCACGGTCCCATCCCGCTCCCCTCACCCAGCCCAGCGAGTTTCGCCACCCGGCCAGAGCGCCGCTCCCTCCGCCGCCATCTTCTCAGCGGGAGAAGCCCGCCCCCGCCGCCATCTTAGGTGAGGGCACCGCAGCCGCGCTTCCCCGTCACGGCGTCCCCTCACCGCCTGCCCGAAGTGCGCCGGTACCTCGGGAGGACAGCGCCAGAACCGCCCCTCCTCGGGGGATAAATACACTTCCCGCTGGCCGAGGGCGGCTCGCAGCGCGGCCGCCTCCCGCTCCTGCCCGGCGGTGAGAGGCACGGGGTGTCGGCGGTGGCTGAAGTGCCCGTGCCGAAGATGGCGGCGGGGGAAACGGAAGCGCGGCGGCGGCGCTCTGGCCCCGCTCTGTGGCGGGGGCGGCGGGAGGACCCGCCCGGCCCGCGGCTCCCGCAGCTTTTTCCCGAGGGAACGCTCCGTGCCCGGCGCTCCGCTGTCCGCTCTGGAATCCTCACGGGTACAGGCACTCAATGGCTTAGTTAAACAGGAAAGTTCAGCTCCGGCCCATCTGGCAGAGCGCTAGGCTGACCTTTCCATGCACTGTGTGCTTATATATAACACCTATAAATTAAATATATTAACGCATGTATTATTATATAAATAATATACACTTTATAGATAAACTACATAGCGTATATAAAATATTAAATCTTTAATACATAGTGTACATATCACATATAGTTGCATATCATATAAACGTGTATAGTAATTATATATAAAATATCTATTATATGCTATATCTGTTATATGCAAGGAATATATATATATATCAAAATATATATATATAAGGAGGAGGTGAAACTTGGCTGAACAAATATATATATACATGTATTTACATTTTGTTTTAATTTTATTTTATATATGTACAATATACATCTCAGCCTTGGCAGCTGGGAAAATGATGGGAGGTGACAACACTGTTGGGATCCATCCCCTGTGGTCAGGATGGATCAGAGCACCCCACAGAGCAGCAGAAATGAGGGTATATGACAGAAATTATGTATTGCAGGGAAGGCAAACTGCATTACTTTAATCACCAGCATTGAGCCACATCACTTGGTTCATCCTGGAGGGAGAGGCTTTTCCTGGCAGTTCTCAAAGTTGCTGTGTAACACCATCATCCCTTGGCCTGTGTCCTCCCAGCTGGGAGTGAGGGAGGCGGAGGAGGAGGCCTGGTGGGCTTTGTTCAGGATATGGACGAGGTTTCCCTCCATGACCCAGTGGCTTTCCAGCTGTGACAGCCACAGTGACTCCCTGTCACAGACTCAGCTGGGAGCTGCAGCGCTGCCATCAGCCCCTTGAGCTGACACTTCATTAAAACTTGTCTCTCTCAGACACCCTCCATGCAAACGAGAGAGAATTGTCCGTGTCCCCTGTGTATGCCAGCACTGCCCAAGGACCGGGAGAGTTTTGTCTCACTCCACCACGCCTGGTGATATGATACCTTACCTGTCCCTGCAGTTCCAGCCCCACATCTCCCTCCTGCTGTGCCTCCTGCAGGTCCTAAATTCATGCCTTGTCAGAGCAGGGACTATTCCAGCTCGGCTGTAGGGGCTATTCCAGCTTGGCTCTCACATCCCAGCTCCTCACCCCCAAGGTGAGGTGAGAGCTGACAGCATCAGCTGCCGAGTTCACTCTGAGGAGGCACCACAGCCACGTGTAGGATTCTAATCAGACCTCCAGGCTGGCATTATCCTGGGATGAATCCACAACATCCATCAGCCAGAGAGCCCAGACATCCCTCCTGGGCACCCCAACCCCAGGCTGAGAGCAGTCACAGCACCCACGGTACAGGTGGTCACTCCTCACAGGTTGCTGCCTTTGTCCTTCAAAAAATTTGGTGAGAGCTGGGCTTTTTGTGATATAGGAAGCTGCCTACCTCCTGAGGTCCCTCCTGCATCCACCAGAGAAATGGCAATTCCCAGGGAAGTAAGGGACATCCTGCTTCAGGGACACCCAAGCAGCAGGGGCATGCCCAAAGGGTAGGAAGGGAATTTTGCCCCTGCAGGAACCATGGCACATCCCTCTGCAGAGCACTCAGCCTCCCACCAGCTCCCTCCCAGAGACCTGCTTTGCCCTCCTCTTTAAAGCTCTTCCCTGCCTGGAATCAGGCATGTGGAGAAGGAAGGGCTGTTTATCCCCTTCCCAGCTGGTTCCTCATTCAGCAGCCTCAGCACAGCAGCCCAGGGATGATGCTGTGGCCTCTGGGTCTCCCAGCACCCTCCTCCTGTCACCATTCCTGGTGTCCTGTGAGGTGCTCAGAGCCATCCTAGCCATAGGGAATGGATCTTATTGGCATTGTCACTTTCCCTTTTTCCAGCTGCTGAGGCTGAGATGCAACAAGTTTGTAGGTTCTGCTACAGGGCAACCCCCGGCACAGCAGACAAGGTGTGGAGGGGCTGGGTTTCCCAAATCCCCCCTTCTGTGCTCCTGAGGTTCCCCCTCAGTGAACCACCAGCTTCATTCCTGCAGGGAGAGGCCAAAGCCTTGCAGGGGTGGCCCTGCGAGTCCCGCCAGGAACCCATCAGCTGTTGATGCTGCAGGGTTTGGATCAGCCCTGGGAAGGGTGGCGGGCAGAGATCACGGTGTTATCACTGCCACAACCAGCCTTTCTCCTGGAAAGGGGAGCGACTCTGATTTCTCTGCGAGCTGAAGGTCACGCTCGGTTTTACAGCCAGGCAAAGGAGAAGAAAGGAGCGATTCTGTTTACTTAGGGAGTCATTAATATCCCAGCTCCTGGCATGTACAGAGGCAGCAGGAACCTCCCCCACAGAGCAGCAGAGAGCGAGGCTGTGCAGCCCTTTATTATTCCATTATCAGCCAGGCAGGATTAGGAGGGCGGGTCAGGGAACAGTGCCGGCTTTGAGCAGGTTTAGCTCCTTTCCAAAGGCTTATCCCGGCTCAGTCTCACTCTCTGGACTCGACTCACTTATTCTCTGCGCAGAGGGGTTTGAGTAATGCTGGGGAGAGAGTGGGCACGGGGTCATGGAGCTTTAATAGCTCAGGAGGCAAAACTTGGGAGGTTCCTTCAGCGGGAGCTCATTCTGTATATTGAATTACAGAGACCAGGGAGGGCAGTTTCTCAGCTCCGCCAACTCCCGCATTGCCCCCCAGGGAAAACCAAGCCTCGGTGCTGCTTTGGAGCAGTTCCGTGCTCGGGACAACCCGGTGCCTGGGCGGGACAGCCATTCCAGCGGCTTCCTGCAGAGCTGGATGAGGTTTTGCTCTTTATTCTTACCCAAGCTTCTCCCTGGAGCCCGGGTGGGGTGGCCGGAGTGTACCGATCCCAGCCCGGCAAGGAAGGAGGAGCCGTGGGAACTCAGGCAGCAAATCCCTCTTCTTTTCCAGGCCAGAAATGGGGTCTGTGATGGGATGTTGTGTCCCAAGTAAGTAATTCCACTCTGGGAATGCAGGCATCGAGCATCGCAGCAGGGATCACCCCTAGATCGGGATCGAGCCTCCCAGCCCAGCCCCAACCAGGTGGTTCTCATTGCAGCCTCTGACTCACCTCCCAAAAATTCCTGCACTCACATCATGGCAGGAAACCGCTACCGGGAAGTGGTAAAACCCTTGGACGGCCTGAAATTCGGCTTCCCCCAGCGAAGGGGGAGATCAAACGGCAGACTTTGGCCTCAGTCCCTCTGACGCCAGGGCTTGTCATCGGGGGAACGTCTCGGCGAGCGAGTGGTGGGTGTGTGGTTCCTCCAGACTCAGCAGCTTTTTGCCTGGCGTTTGGGAGTGTTTTCCCTGAGGAGGCCTGAGCTCAGAAATATTTTTAAGCAAATTATCAGCTGGGAAGAATGAGCTCAGCTCGTCGGCATTGTTCAGGGCCTCCCGGTGACCCCTGCGGTCCCAGGCTGTGCCGGCAGCTGCTGAGAGCTCAGCGGAGGGTCAGCGCTGGGGAGCGGCCCCCAAGCTCCAGAGCCTGGCTGTGATTTAGGAGCTGCCACAAAAAACCTGAGCTCCTTGGAGGCTGAGAATCCTCCCTGGGCCCCGAGAGAAGCTGGATTTTGAGGGAAACCTGCCACCCCTGGGTCATGGAAGCAGGTAGAAGGCGCAGCCACTTTCCCGAGTTCTGCAGCAAATCAGTGGTAGAGCCCAGACCTGTGTCCTAGCTCAGGTGGGATGTGATCGCAGCCACTCTCCTCCAGGAGATATCCCTGTTATCTCTGTTCCTCCTGCTCTGTGCTGGTTCCCCCATATCAGCCCCAGCCTCGCGGCTGATCCACAGTCCAGGGGCTGGGTCTGCACAGAAACAGCTCCGCTCCCGCAGGAGCTGCCTGGAAAGTTCCCACTGCTGCAGTCGGTGCCTGTCCCCCTGCCAAGCCTGCAGCCCTGCCAGCCCCGATGCAGCGCCAGCCGCGCTATTTCTGGCTCCACCTTGAGACATGTACCTTCAGCAGTGGGAACGATGCTAAAAGAGATGGATTTGGGAGGAGTGCATCCCCCTCCCGTTCCCGTCCCCGGGTGGCTGCCGGCGGACGCGGCAGAGCGGGCAGGGATGTGGAGGAGCTGTGTACCTCGAAGCGAAACGCTGCAGT